CACCCCTATTATTTGCTAATTCCCTTCATGCGTACGCTTTACAAATATTTTCCATTTTAGCCAATATCACAGCTGACTAAGAGACAGCACAAATTAAAACCACACAATGGAAAATATTAATATTTTATCTAAAGCTTGGCAAGCGATCAGAACAGTTGCTAGCCCTTTGATAACTTGGGGGGAGGAGGGATTAAATTCAAATGCCTATAACGATTCATATAGTTTCCTCGAGGAATGAACGTAATCAGTTACGGCAGAAGATAACAAGACGCAGCACAATTTTGAATGCTACCATAAACTTAGCCAGAAATCGTTAATCTGCAAAACCTTCATTGACCAGCACGCAATGTCTTAACTATCACTCAATGGCTTGGCTAAATTGGTTACTTCAGGTTTGGTTTCATTGCGCATCGCTCAATTGTTTCTATGCCGATTGATCAACTGTCACTTTAAAGTAGATGCAATGAGGCAATAACCGCTGTTCGGTGTTACTTCTCTGTGAAGCTGAAACAGCAGCTGCTAGGATTAGTTTGTGATGACTTGCTGAAGACTGTCTGGGGGGGGGACTGTAGCGGATGCATATGAAGATTCAATTCATGTGTCTAGAACAGTTTGTTTACCATGATACAATTCTAATAGAGAGAATAGATCATTACCACAGATGTAGTTACGGCCTGTTCAAACATGGAATGAGGTAAAGCTATGGAATGCATAACTCTGGGTTTGTGCATTACGCTCGATTAGCGAATCAGTCCATGTCTACAGAGTAGCAACTGCGGTAAAGATATGAAGGAGCGAATTCTTCAGGCGACGAGAAAAATCATCCTATCTTTCATCCCAGGTAGGCCACCGGGACAGGGTTGAGTTTTCGATGGCTTTTATGAAATATAACACTTTGTGGTAGCGTGGAGCTCTTGGGTACGTTTAGCGTATTGAATTCCCAGTGAAGCCAGATTTACGCTGAGGTTAAAGAGTATCCGTATGAAATCCATTATGCAGAAAAAGCACAGGTGAATGAGATACCTCAACTTCAGGACCTCACATTGTATTATAACGTCAACGTTTCAAAAGACCAGACGTTGTCCTGCAGACTAGAACATTTGCTGGTCGTTTAAAGATTTCACTGGACTGAAGAGGTGTCATTGGTCAGCATATGACGACGATGATGTTGATGAAGATGATGATCGCAAAACCTTGTCGAACAACTTGCTGGATGCCATGAGTCTTACTTTGAAAAATACCTTCTAATGTGTAACAGGTATTTGGTCGAGCGCTTTTGTTGCTTGTTCACAGAAGACACTAGAGATCGGTAGGAGGTCTTAAACATCGGAGGAGGTAGATTTGTTGGAGAAGATGGACAGAAAATTTTTCAGATACCTAAATTCCCGTTATATCCGTACAGCAGACGTGTATCGCATAACTTAGTCACAGTCCAGAACAAGACGTTCTTTCAACCCGAATTAGCGGGTAATACTCGTGCATATGTTCTACCGCAGAAATATGTGGCATTGGAAGGAGCTGCATTTCAATAGATTTGAACGCTCCCTGCTGATCAGAGAGTAGAGTTCATTACGAGAATTCTCGGAATACTCACAGAGAGTTAGCTCAGATGGTCCTGAAATCCTTCACTCAAGATTTGCTTTAAAGGAGTAGAGAATTATGTCACCATTTGGTCTCTACTACTTCGTTAGTCAACGGCAATGACCTCCGACGAAACTCGGACACACCCATAAA